GCAAATAAAGTTGATTATTCAGGTACGATAGTAAGAGTTCGAAATGGTTTATACGAATGCAGCTCTCTGTCAAACCTGGAGGGTCATACGAACTTGATTCGATTTCTGAAACTATTGAGTTGAGTCGGGATGACATAGATTAATAGACAAATTCGATGATGGACGAATTGTCCTGTTTCCTCTCGTTAGGTTTGCTTTCTAGACCCATTTCATGCGTTGCCAACAATTAACTGTGCAATGAGGGTGAAGAGGGGAGGGATTTCAGTTGGCCCGGATCCGGCTCGATGCCCATCGTGACGAGCATATTCTCTCATACGGAAAATGTAAGAAGGAGCTTAAAAGAGCCATCAGAAAAGCTACCCGCAACCTTCCGTTTCCAAAATATTTGTACATTCGTCAAGGAATCAAACGTTTTAAGGAATACAGCTCTTGATAGTGGCAAAAACTTTTTTTTTGTTTTCTCGCGTGGAACTTGACGCAGTTCTCGACGTTTACTCGTACCGAAATTGGAAGAGACCATATCTTTGACATTTTAGAGGGCTTTTTCAGGCAATTCAATAACTCTTAAAACGGAACAGTCTATCTAGCTACTCAAATGCTCAAAGGTGGATGAATGGATGTAATGAAATGCAACTTTTTCATCGAGGGTGGAGATTCTCGGACGGTTTTTTTCAGGATTAGCAAATTTGACCCGTGGCACAAGGGCGGCGCCGAAGCGCCGTTGAATCGGAGAATTGGACTGATAACTCGGCTGTTTCGATATACTCAAGCGAGAAATAAGTATTAAATCGCCAACTCCTGTGCCTTCAGGATTTCTGTGCATTTTGAAACGGAACCTGACTTGAGGTCACACAAAAATAATGCCTCTTTCTCGAAGTCGATATTTCGGAAGTACTCACAAATGTGTGCCGTGAAGCAGCTGCCACAGATGACAAGATGAGGACGTCCATAATATTATTTTGCTGTTCTGGATTGATATTTGCAAAGAAAATGGCAAAAATTGAAATGTTAATTTTTTTTGCATTAAGTAGTTGAATTATTTGGCTCTTTTGGGGGGTGTGAGGATCTCGTTTCAGGGAGGGGGGGGGGGGTCGTACTTCTGGCCACGTCTCGACAGATTTTACCCTTGTATGACTTAGTACAAAAAAACACCAGACACACGGAAAAAGAACAACTCGTTATTGTAAGAAAATTTAGTTTCATATAAAGCCGTTAGTGAAAATTAATATGTAGAAGAGGCATGCGAGCAATATGACGTGGAACTACGCTGGATGAAAAAAAATTTCGACTTTTTCCAAACGGAAGTAAGGAAGATACAAAATAGGATAAACGGAAAAGATAGCAAGATACTGGTTGGAGGGGTTTCATTAATTAGCTCAAGTCGCCAAGTGGAAGGATATCCAGAGTGCAAACACTTTACACTTTCGAAATATTTAGACGGCTGCATACCGTTGCAAGGAAAGGCCCTTTAGCAAATCCAAAGTCACACGGATCAGTATGGCTGGCTGAGGATTACAAACACTATACAGAGGCTGCAGACGAACACAGGACATTGCACCGGGTCGGCTATGGTGCCCGCTCGCACGATGGGGTTGTTATAGGGGGACTTTCCGAGAGCTTACGAGAACACGGGGGGATATCGACATCCACGTGGATCGGGTAGCTAGGGAGAGGCCACGGATAACACGTTCGTAAGTGACGAAATTGAGGTACCAGTGGGCATGTCTATGTATACATGTCAAAATCAGGTCAAATGCGTGGTCGAGGGGGAGCTTCCTCTGCGTAAATGACGGATGTGGAGATGGGCTGTGGTGGGCGGACCTGGACAGGGTCAGAACGAGGATGTCAGAACTGCGTCATGCGAGAATGCCCTGTTCGCTGAAGGTGAGGAGCGCGACTGCCAGGTACGGTATCGGGCAGTGTAATGAGAAGGACAACAAGGCCACCAGAGGGATGCAATGAGACTTCGATCGCGAGGCAAGAGCGACCAGAGGAGCCCCAAAGAGAAGGTGGAAGGATGTACTCAGGAAGGATCTATAGATGAAAATCATGGCACTACAGGGGATGCCTGAGAGGCAAGTGGCGCCTATAGGACGCGGAGCCCTGCGACGGCGCAGGGAGACCTGAGGAGAGAGAAGAAGAAGAGGGTGGGTCGGAAGGAGGGAGAGTGTGTCTCTCAATACATGATGCACCTGAATGTATAGTCTATGTGAGAAGAAAGAAATGAAAGCAATGTCGCTGAGACTTAAAACGCAAAAGAGATGTGTGCTAAACAAGAATAAGTGAGACATCGAGCACATCGAAATGTTTGAGACGATGCAGATCCTTCTGAAAAGTAGTTATTTGCAGTTAACACGAACCAAAACGAAGAAAAGAAGACGAAGAAGGGGTTGGAAGAGCCAATGGGGTTATTCTGTGATTACATCATATTTGACATAGGATCGAGTCTGACTATGAAGCACAGAGCAGAAACGGTTGTTGTGTCGTCATGGAACTGAGATACAAGGCCAATGTCATCATCAACATTAGCTATCCCTATGCTGAGAGAAACTAGATGGTCAAAAAACCAAGGAATGGTCCACTAAATTCTGGAGAGGGTAACCTTATTCGCGTTTTAGTTGGTAGTATCCGGCGGTAGGGAATGGAAGAAGCGTCTGTTATCGACCGATATCAATTGTAGGATTGGAAGGAGCATTGGTAAACGTACCTTGCGTTGCAAAGTTAAATTTATTTCTTTGCGAATGTTGACAGGTTGGTCCCTATAGTGTTGCAGTGCGGTTTAAGTTATTAAACGAATCTGTTGAGGGGAATTGGCTCGCTGAGAACTGCATATTGATAAATTAGGCTTTCAAGGATGGGTACGGTTTCCTATAACCATTGTCGTGATTGTTATTGCTTAGACCGTAAGGAATGTGTTCTTAATCGAAACTCTGTCTTGTTTTTCTGTTCTAGGCCCTGCGCTCGAAGGTATATCATAGGTTGAAAAATACCTTAAAAAAATGTGTGTTCCATGGTCAAAAATCAGCTATCGTGATTTAACTTTATAGCTTGAGATTATAGATAATTAGAATTCAGTGATTGTTTTATGAGAGTGTGTGCTTTTCTTGACAAGTCGCGAGTTTGATTGCATTGCTCCGCCGTGTATGAAAAAAAAAACCGGTGACAATTTTCAGTGGGCTTTTTCATTTTAGCATGGTTCATGTAACATGATTATATTGCTTTTGTAGCCCCATAACCGCTTGTCCAGTTTCCACTCGCACTGAATAAACATTCGATGGCTGGCAGGCGGATTGCAGTTCGAGGTCGCAGTGGGACTGGAAGGCGGTGTGCCGGCCGTGATGTAGTCAACCTTACGACGCACTCACCTCAAGGAATCTCTGATTGATCCGCTTCACGTTATCGCATTCGCTGCCTTTACAGGCTATTGTTATGTGGCATCGATGATAACAAAACCACGACTGCGCGAGAAATGTTGAGCGATTTCTTTATGTCCATAAGGATACATATGTCGGAAACGAATTCAAAAAGTGAGAGGAGCAGTAATGCAAGGTTGTTCTCCCCACCACCATGAGATATGTGCCTATTTAGGAATCAGTGCAAAAAGCAAAGACCGGAGACAAAATATGATTACAACTATGAATATGGGAGACGCACATGATATTCCTTTCCGGTTTCCTTACGTTTGATCACTTCAGTAGCATCTCTGATGCTACACGCCAGTGCCAAGGGGCGAGAATTGCTCCCAATCGATCTCAACGAAAACATTCGAGTTAGTACGGTAAAATTACGTAGGCAGCTTTGGATGATCTCAGGTGACACGATTAGAGAGGTTCATCACTATGACGCCTCAATACGGTCCATTGTATCCAGGGCCATTTGGCTCGCAGTTATCATTAGTACTACATAACGCTCACTCTCAAGATCGGAGCGATTTTAGTGAGTGAACAAGTTGCCGCTACCATGCAACATTTTGTAAGCGATGAAGGTATGATCAGCGGCATCTAGCATACATTTAGCTGTGGCGCAAGGGCATTGATTTTTTATTCTAATTATAATTTATTCGCACTGAAAATCGGAAGGCAGCACACAGCCACGTTGTTGTTTATTAAGGGGCAGGCCGTCGGCTGAAGCTGGGTGGCAAGTGGTAGGCAGCGGAGGATGGGGTATAATCTAAATCGTGGCTTGAAAATTTGATGTTCAGCAATAGGATCAAAACGAACATTTAATCAAAAAATTTGAAGGCAATTTGGTGGAACAAAGGCTGTCCTAATATTGACATGTATATGCGAGAGGGTACAAAGTGCTAAGCGACTATCCACGAGTAAACCAGGCATGGAATATGGGCTTATGCTAATGATTTTCGTCGCTCGCAAACTGTTCTCGAACTGGTGCAGGAAAGTATAAGTATGGGCGACGAATAAAGGGAGGCCTCCTCTGTTCTTTTAAAGCGTTTTTCTGATATTGATATGTCATGAGAACGGCAAGGGAAATTATGTGATACGGAAGATTCATGTAAGGTAGAGTCTCATGAAATATAGCCTGGGATGAAATTGAGGACTTGCGAGGGACGACATAACAGAGCACTTCAAATCTGAGTCAGTTATGAATACGATTTAGTGAATCCGTTGATCATAGATTACTGAATATGGGTAAGGTTTTTAAGGATTCGTACACTATTATGAGCGATTAGTAAATGTTTGTAATAGGCATCAAAAACTCGGAGTAGCCAGAATAAATCTGACTTTTTTTCAATCGCAGGTGAAAAACCGTACCAAGATACTGGTAACCCAGGTTCTCTACCTTCACTTGAAGTTCAATTCGCCACATGCTAGCTTAATACAAATAGCGGGGAATAAAGATTTTCCATCGCTTGAGCAGGGAGCTTAGCCAAAGTGGAAAAACCATGGGATGTATGACTCGAGAAATAATGCAAAGAGAGAAGTCGCGGTGGTCGTTAGGCAGAATCGCGCGGGTAGTGTCGGTTGCGAGTGGTGAATCGGATGATGGGAGGATGCGACGGTGATATGGTGGAACACATCGAGCCGAACGACAACGCGGCGGCGAGGCGAGGAGGCTGCGAAATTCGGGTCATTCGCGACGAGAAAGTGCGCGACGAAAGCGAAACGCTCGCGGCCTCGTCGCGCCGCTTCTTCGCATATTCTTCCTGAAATTATGCTTGTACATGGTAGTGAAGTGCTGCCTGGTTTCCTACCAATGGACTTCACTGAATAAAAAAATAATACCATATGGTGCCGTGTTACTACGTTTATATGAGCTTTCTTAGGCACGAAATTCTGAATCAAATACTGGTAAGATCAAGTAGTCGAGATCGAACCAAATGCATCAGTTTTCAAACTCAATTCGATGAAAAAAGCTCCATATGCAAGGTGTAAGGTGTAAAATTTTCATACTTCGATGTTCCTTTAACTGGCATTCATCTCTGCGAAGACATCTGCTCTTAATAAAGCCCGAAATCTTGCGCTATAGGCCGCGCCTTCTGAAATATCGGGGGGCCGAGTCGGTCGTTTATCGTTCAAGCGGCCATGTCTTGGGCCTTGGATGTCACTCTGTAGCTTCCAAACTCCGTCTGCAGTGATAAGTGACCCGACCCACTGTTGCCTCGAATGAGCGTTGGGTCAGTCACTTACTACATACTAGGGGATCTTTCACTGAGATTTACGAAATGGAGGAAAAATTAAATGTGAGGTGTACCAAGAAGAAGAAGAAGAGAAGACCATAAACTCTTATAGAAACACTAATTAGTTTTTTGTTCGTCCTAAATCAAGATTACTGAGATTGATTCATATCATTTTGAAAAACGTTTCCAATTGTTTTTTTATCACGAGTGAACGGTCGCAAGCTGATCAAGACAGAACAGATTGGAATGCAACGTGAGCCATCCCATCTGTCACACGTCATTAATTTTTTGAATTGGAAAGATGTCCTTTCATTTTTCAAACTGCAGGTGGACGCATGCGTCCATTTTTCGAAAAACTTCCGGTAGCCAAACAAGCGGACGCATCCGGCTACTCGGCTGACGTCACTTGTCCATGTTAGGGCATATACGTAGGCGCTAACTACTCATAGGCTTGATACACTTTACTTCTTGTTTTATTTTATTTGAAATATTTATTTCGTTCAACATTTATAATTTTGCTTGTATTACTTTATCTAACTTTATGGTAATAACTACTCCGTGAGCGGATGTGGTCCCGTGGCAAGTGGTACGCTCACCACGCGAGCAATCCGGGGATCAAATCCTGGGTCGTGAGTCGCCCGGGCCAACCGAGCCTTCCATCCCTCCGGGGTCGGTCATTTGGTACCAGACTCGTCCGGGAGGATAAAAAAAACACTGACTTGAACATCGGCTGCGCCCGCAAGTCATTGCATAGGCCACATCGCATTCAAACACCTCTGCTAATGTACAAATGGAAGTAGAATGCGTGCCGCATCCTAAAAAACAAAAATGTTTGATCAACACAAATGCTTTATCCTTTATCTTTTAACTTATCCGTATTCTTGGTTTGAGGTTTGGGTAATGTTATAGTCTAGTATTCTTTTCGCACCTGCCCCTGAATTTGATTTTTGGGAGGATGACAAGCCCACTCGGATCCTAAGTTGCTGAACACTTCCGAGACTAGCGGCATTCTCCTCGTAAATTCGGTGATTGTACAAACTTCTTTTGAGCGTATTCTTTACGTGATGTTTTTAACATGATCATCCATTCTTACTCGTAGAATTTGCGAAAATTGGCACTAACCATAGGGGCCCATGAATTGCGTACGCGTTCGGCGCCACAACCCTATTTTATTTTGATGTTCACTGTTCGAAGGTCCGTGCCATCTCATGCGCTTGAGAAAGAACAAGCAAAGGAGGTATCAGAACTTAATAAGAGGGCTGTATTTCTTCGAGGCCGAGGAAGAAAACCTTGGTGTCTTGGGAGCGCTCTCCAATGGTGTGATGGATAACAGTTAACACATTGACGACAACCTGACGCGCATACGCGTCACAAACTTGTTATCCGTTTTTGTTCCGTGCATAAGCCCCGAATTTTAGTTATTTGTACATTTATTCTGTAAACAAGACCTAATGTAAATGTGAGCCACATAGGCCCCAGAATGGTCAAGTAAAGTTTAATTTTGCAAACGTTTTCTGATCCTCGCAAAAATTTTTGTTCAATTTACTCATCGTTTTCATATACTGTCATAATCACCCATATAAAAATTATGGTGGGAGTAAAAATAAAACCCTATAAGTGGCGATGTACAAATATGTTTCTGATGGAGCAACAAAGGGAAAAATGCTAAGTACTGACGTCACATGCGGTGAGATTACACGTCATTTGGACTCAAACCAACTTCCATAATTCTAGGTGATCTTCATGTTTGATCATTGCTAAGTGATCATTGCTGAGGTTAGATTCTGAGCGGCACTGATATTTTGAGTATTCAATATACAAAATAAGCGAATGCAAGGTGAGACCTCGCGAAATGCTCCCACGCGGCACAGAAGGCCTAAACGTGCGCTGTCAACGTGTTAACATGATCGCGAACGTCAGAAGTGGAAACAAGTACGCTGAAAGGCTATGACGGTAATGGAGATGGAAGCTATGAAATTTGTGAGTTCTCGTACATAGCTTTAAAAGAAGGATTAGAACGTTTTATTTGGAAGAATCAGCGACAGGAGCTAACTATGAGGTTTCCGTTGCGTAGTTGCACTCATAAGTGGTCTGGTCGTGAATGGAGATGCCCTGAGGAGCAATTATTGTGATACAGCTAGTGTCATTTATGACTCTCCGTTTTTCAGCAGGATGCGAATTAAAGGCTTTTGGAAAGAGGTTCATTGGGACTGTGTTAGGAATTTGGCAGAACGATACTCTTCGAAGCTTTATCACCAACATGGTGTCATATTTTCCCGCTCAATACCGTTAACTGTTTTTACCAAGGTTCATTTGTTGTTATATGCTCTTTGTTCGCAGTGAGGTTTTCCCGTCGCGGAGTTGCACCTCATTATGCTGGTTTCTGAGTGGAGAGCATTTGAGGAGCGAAATTATTGTTATACAACCTGTGCATTTATGACCTCTCTGTTTTTCAGCAAGGATGCGATCTTACAGCCTATCGAAAGAGGTTTATTGGAATTTTAAGAAATCAGAGAACCAACACTCTTCCAGGAGCTTTATCGCAAACATGTGAAATATTTTTCTCGACTTCCATAGCTAACCTGTTATTGCCAATGTTTCATGTGTTGTTATTGTGCTATTGTACATATTTCAGTTGATCTGAAGAAGGGCTCAGGCACGAAACGTTATCAGTAAAGTTAAGTGAAAGAGGGGCTTTTGAATTACACTCGTCCTGATGTGAAATTTCGTTGAATGCTCTGTACTGTCGAGCGCCCGTGATGGAATGCTGCTATATCAGGGCGTGGCGCCTTATCAGATGAACAAGAGCTTATCTTCTGTTGCACTAAATTATATGGTTTGAGGGTATATCAGTTAGATGCCATTACTTTGTACTGTGGCACACGAAACACGTTCCGGTTTCTTACAATGGCGAGCAGATTAAAAATTATCACTTGAGGTTGTCGCATAGTATATTAAAAACCTTCTGCAACTAGATGTAGATAAAAAGAGCCGTGAAGTTCATTACATTCTC